CGGCAGCACGTCCTATGTCGCCCAAGGCTGGGCGGCACTCCCCGGGCTGCTTGGGCAGCATGCCCTATGTCGCCTAAGGCTGGGCGGTATGGCTCATGTCGCCTAGGCGACACGTCCCGTGCCGAACAAACAAAAAATTCTCCAAATTGAAAATTTTCTTTTCAGTGTGTTCTTCAGCCTTTTGTGAAGCTACCAAACAATATTTGGGTAAAAACGGATTTTTTTTACTATTTTTAATATTTTTTTTGGTAAAACAGGGTGTTTACAGAAATTTGGATCAAAACAGGGTTTCTGCAGGGTTCCGAACAAGCTGACTCAACGTGAAGCGTCTCACTCTCATGTGGATAAGAAATCAAGGGACACAGTTTTTTCAAGTTCATAATCTTAATTTCTTGGCATTTAAATATTACATTGCTGGTTACGTTTTAAACAACTTGAAATTATATTTTGGCCAATAAAGTTTATTTACTTCATAAAATTATAGTAAATTAATTGAGGAAGAAATCAACTTGTGAGTTATTTTCTATTAACCATTGAATCCTACAAGATCTATACTTCGATATACAATGTGTGATTCAATAAAACGTAAAACTTTTGGCAAACCTGAATTGCTTTGCAACAATAGGCGCAAGTACAGGCTTATTAATGTAAATTAATCACATATAAGTTTCTATCATTGAATTATTATTATTTGGGTAGTTTAACGGTAGGAATTGAACTTTAGATATAGCATTTTTAAGAGTCCGCTGCTAACTACTCAAGCCTAAGCCCAAGCCCAAGCCCAAGCTCAAGGTCGATTCCTACTATCATTAAACTATACTATTAACCATACCATATTCATAACAATCTGCTGCTTATTTGTAATATGATGTAGATAAAATATGTTTCATTTCTTAAGACCTTTAAGTTGTGCATAAACTGGATTAGGCTAGTTTCTTATAAATTTAGCTCGAATTAATCTACGTTGATCATATTAAGTTTTGAGTTAGAAACCGAAGTAAGTAAGTGGTCTCAAATCTTAAATTTCATGTTTTTTTAATGTCAATCCGACGTGGTCAATCCGACAGCACTAAGATCCAATAATTTGTTTAAAACCAAATTTTTTCAAAGAGATTTTACTTTTAGGAAATATTTTAAAAGGTATAATTTTCAAAATGTCTTCATAAAAATTTTTATGAAGAAAATAAAATATAAAGCCTTATTATATTGTTATCCAAAAACGTTTTTGAAAAGATCATAAAATCACAGTGAAGTTCTTGTATATCTCTTTTAGTTCATTTGACCATACCCCATTAACCTCTCTCTCTCTCTCCTCTCCAAATTTTAATTTGCTTTCTCCAAATTATACAACTAAATATTCACACTTTACTAAGTTAGCCATAATCAGCTTTAGTTTAATGCGCTTATTTGTTACAAATGACAAAATCTTTATGATAATATAGCATTCACCAATTTCTTACATTATGAACTAAAAAGTTTATTTGCTTTCCTTATGAGGTCATTCCTTTGGAGAAGCCATTATAAAGTTAGAAAATTGAATATGGTTAAATGAAAAAATATGTGCCCCTAAGCAAGATGGAGGTTTGGGTTACAGGAACCTGAAGTTAATGAATATGAGTTTGTTGACTAAATGGTGGTGGAATTATCATTTACAACAAATAATTCTTTAGGAGAAAATAAGGGATAAATATAGTGAAGAAGTGGACACGATTAGATTAAGATCCTAGAAGCAAATCTGCCATTTCTTGTATTTGGAGACGGATAGATTACTATAGGCCTATTTATCTATCTTCGTCATTACAAGAAAATTCTTAGGGGTTCAGACTTTTATTTTGGTTTGAGAAGTGGTTTGATGATGCTCTCTTAGATTTTTTTTCCTTGAGGTTTTCTCAAAAGTTTGTAATCCATTTGCGACTGTGAGTGACTTGAGGTCCGGGGAGATGTCCCCATACTTCCTAATTTATTATGTGCAAGCAGGGTTTCGGATATTTTCATTGAAGAATTTGGAAGGTTAATGTAAGGACTACAAAGTGTTTCTTATATGCCAAATAAAAAAGATCTAAGTTATTTAGAATCTTATTACATAGAGGGACTTTTCAGACAAATCAGTTTATCGAGTGATCTTTGAACATCGAAGTAGGCAATTGATTCTTACTTGGTTAAAGTTTGACTTTCGGATGTTCCTCTCAAAGTGTAAGTTTTTTGTGGATTGCTGTCAAAATAAATCGGCAATTGTTGATAATTTAAGGAAAAGGGGTTTTATCTTAACTAATGTGTGTTTTGTATAAGGCATACAGTAAATCCGGAGATCACCCAACAACCCCACCAAAGAATTCCCTTAAACTCAATTTCAATAGAAGTTCTTTAGGAAGTCTAGGTCTTGCAAGTTTTAGAGGATTAATCGAAGAACGTAGAGGTAATATAATTTATCATTTTCTGGACTGTGTGAGATTGATACTACTTCTGAAGCTAAGGCTAGAGGCCTTTTAAAGGGGTTGAACTTGATCTCTTCGTTAGATGGTGATAAAATTATTGAAGGGGATTCAAATAATATTGTTGCTAGGTGTAAAGGGTCTACTAAAGTACCTTGAAGCTTAATTCCATCATGGAAGAAATAAGGAACCTCTTGTCCAAAATTTCAATGGTTCTTTATCATTGTTTAAAGAGGCTAATTCTAATGTTGATTCTTTAGCTAAAGGTGGGACCTATCAACTCTTGTTGGTGGTTACTAGATACTCTTAATTTGTTTACTTTTTTGTAATATTTTTTTTTTCTTAAGAGAAAATTACATATTGATGTTAAAAAAAGAAAGAAAAAGTTTTTTTTCCTCATAATTCATTATTTTTACTATATTTCTATGTCTCCTATTTGAATCCAAAGCATCCTTATCTTCTTTTTTCGATTTCTTTGACACTATAGTAATTTTTTGATTATTTTTCATACTCCTATTTGTTGCACCAAAATAAAATTAATATGAATGTTGTTGCCCATATATCCACTACCCCAACTTGCTAGCTATGATCGACAAGTGAGCCTCACTCTATATAACCCTGTAAAGTAGGTAAGCGACGACAATTGTTTTAATTTCTATCTTCACAGGATTAAAAGTCTTTGTTGATTGCTCCATCTCATTCATTGAATTGAAATATTGTTCATATATTAAATTAGTTCTTTGAAACCTGGCGATTCCTGATTTTGATCGTTGATCTAGAAGGGGACCTGATAAGAACCGAATCGGTTCCAAGATGGTATGAGTTGCAACTCGGTTCCCTCCTAAAACTCACCCTTTAGTATTTTTTTTAAAGTTTATTGAATATTTTCTTAGCTCCCTCCTTAATCCCCACCCTATAAGTCCCTATTTTTATTTTATTTATTTTTAAATTTTTTTTGGATCACCTATTTGGACTGATCCAGACCAACTTGGATTGTCGATCCAATAATCTGACACATATCTAGGGGTGAACAATCCATCGTACTGATCTAGCTTTTGAAATACTAGTTCAAATCATTTTAAAGAGAAGTAAACAGACTAGCCCCATATGAGAATGTTAACGTAATCTAGCAATTAGGCCATACAACAATGGTAAAAGGAAAAATTTATATCAGGCACCAATCGTATATTTAAAAGTAAGGTGCACTTAAAAAACACACCCAAAAAATTTGTTTTGATACTAGAGAACCTCCAATTGATAATCTCGATGTCTAGATGTTTGGAGTCGGGGAAAAAATAATTTCAAGTCATGAAATAGTGCATCTTGTAACACATTATTCGAACTGTCTATTCTTAAGATTTCAGAGCATATATGTTTGCTCAATCTATATTATTTCGGAGCTTTAAATTTTATAATAGTTTATGTTTATTCCCTTGGTTAGGAGCCCTATGTGGTAGGGGTTTTTCAATTTAAAATTTTGGGAACTATCTCAAAATACCTAGATGATTATTCTCAATTTCAAAAATTTAAAATTTGAGTTTTTTAATACTTAGATCTCACCCATGAAAATTAGATAGACTATATTCAATTTTGAGACATTTATTTTTTCTTTGAAGGGTGCAATTAGAATTTTATTTTTTTTAATCAAAATTTATCCATGGGTCGAAGATTCTTCGGAAATTTATTTTTTCAATTAGCCAAAAGATATTATAATCCTTTAGAATATATTGTCTTTACTCTTTTGGATAAAACTCTACCTAAGATTAATTTTAGGATTTTAAATTTTGGGAGATTAACTCGTGTGCAAATAGTATGCAAACTAGGCTGTTAAAGAGGGCATTGTGAAGACCATTCGTTGTTTGACATATGTTAGGGAGGCTTACACTATGGTCCCATAAGATCATAGTGTACATTTATTCTATGCGGCAGAAATTTTCTACTACGAAAGCTTGCCGATTTTACAACTTCTATGCTATAGGGGAAGCATAGAAAGCTCGCCCATTTTAAAAACCACTTAAAAATCACTAGATGATGATATTCAAAAGATAAAATTGAATTTTGACTTTTTAATGCTTGTATCTTTCCCTTGGGTTTCTTCTCGAACTCCATAAATCGTACTTATAAACAATGTAATTTGGAAATTTTGTATATTGCATATAAAATGCATCGTCAGAAAGTAATATTTTCAAGGATACTGTTTCTATGCGGCTAGCATATTATAGAAATGCAGGCTTGACAATAAATATATTTTTCAAATATAATTTGACCTAAATTTTTAGAGGATATATAATTTTTTACATGAATATAAAAAAAATAATAGTTTGAAAACTAAAATTAATAATTATATTAAGAAAATATTTGGACCGATAGTTACAATTATTTTTAAATGGATTTATAACTCTGGACCGTAGAAATATGGTCCAGCGGACTGTAGAAATGTGGTCCAGCTCGCAATAAACAATTTTTCTATTCTCAAAATGGGGTCGTAGTGGACTGGATTTTATCCGATGGAAATAAACCTACAGCACGATCCTTCGTGAGCATTAAATACCTTATCCTGTTTTGTTCTCATCAGGGGATTAAAGAGTGAGAGTCCACGAGATTATTACTGTGAGCATCTCTGTTAGAGAGAGAGAGAGAGAGAGAGAGAGAATGGGGTTGGTTCTGAAACTGTTGATGCTACTGGTGATGGTGAGTGAATTATCATCCGCCATGGCGGACTATGTACGGCCGCCTGCTCGTGAGATGCTCCAATTTCCATGGCAACACAGGCAGTCCTCTTCTTATCCCCAACAGGTTCCCTATTTCTATTCCTTTTTTGGTCTTCAATATTTCTGCCACTAGGGTTTTGAATGTTCTGTAAGTTTATGGACTTTTTTCATTCTTTAAATGGTTTTCCTCCAATGCAAAGTGCTAGTTTTATGACAATTCATGATAATTGATGATCTCTAAATTTTGTCTCTATCGGTTCATTTGATTTGTGTGCACCTGTTCGCCTCTGATGCTGATGTTTGCATGTCTAATTTGCTCTGGTTACTTTTTTTGTTCTCCTTTTTTGTTTGGAGAGATGCGGATTTTGTAACCATTCTAAGTTAACAACCATTAGAAAAAGGCATTACCAGCCCAGAACAAATTTTTCTTGATGTATTCTTGAAGATTGAATTTATCTGAGGGCCTATATTTTCTATTCGATGATCGGATTTTTTATATATTGATATTGGTATTTATTTGATTAAGATAATTTTTTTTTTTTTCCTTATTCAATTAGCCATCCTTTTGTATGGCAAACAGCACAATTTTAGGTCATCAACCTGAAAATACCTAAAATTTATAAGTCTTTAGCCTTTATGTTCCAAATGAAGTTTTATACTCTCTAGTAATTCAGTTACTCTCTAGTAGTTCAGTTTTCCTAATTGAAACTGAAATTCATGCATTGAGCTCTTCTTTATATTATAGAAGCTGCATAGCTTAAAAAAGCGGCCCACCCGGGCCTGGGTCACATCGCCCAGGCATTGGCAGCCTACTGAGCACTGGGTCCCCTGGCCCTGGGCAGGCGCCCAGGACTGTGCCTACCCCGGAAAATACCCCTCTTGAAGTGGCATTTTAATCCTTTTTCCCCTAAATAAAGAGGGGGGAGGGGGGTGGGTGGGATTTAGGTTTTATTGTGACCTAAACCCCTTTTTTTCCTTTTAGAGTGAAAAGAAGAAGAAGAAGAAAACAACCGCATTTTTGCACTTGTGTAAGATTGATCAGGCAATTCAAAGTTTTGAAAAATCGATCCAAACATAATCATTTTGGTTTGAATTTGATTTTGTAGATTTTATAAGTTTGTTAGAGGGATTTTAAGAAGCATTTGAGATTGAGAAACATCTCAAAGGTGGAAGATTGAAGATCGAGCAATCCAGGTCGGTGAAAAAATTTCGTATTTGAGATTGCTTTTGTTATTTCGAAATGTCTTCTTCGGGTTCTACTAGGTGTCTAGGAGTGGTGATCCGTGTTTGAAATATGGTTATAACCCGAATCCTTTAGATAAAAATTGTATAAAGGATAATTATTGTGAAAGAGATGCCAAGGTATGAACCGGTTCAAGAAACATCTTGCTGGTATCAGGGGGGATGCTCCCTATAAAAATATTCTTGTTGCGATTAGGGAGGAGATTAGAGATTATATGAATTTTCATAGAATTCGTAATGTGTTATACCTCAATATGCATTTTTTACACATAACTTGGACCTAAAACAGTCGGATCATACATCTCCTACCCCTGTTTTTTCACCTGAGCTGCCGTGAAACCTGAGCTGCTGTCCAGGCGCTAGGCTGCCAGGACCCCCCTCGGTCGCCTAGGTGGCACTTGGTGTTTTTTGGATCATTGAGAAGCTGTTGGCTAAGCCTTCACATTGTGGTTTGAATTCAGTATAAAAGCACATCTGATTTTGAATGGATGGTCCTCACGTTATTATGCTCATTCCTGGAAAAATCTGCTTTATGTTTGCGGCTTTAAGTCAGCTTGAATTTAATCCAAGCTGACTGCAATGTGCACAATACAGATTGCAACACATCACATCCACAGATGATAAAGTTGATCACATCCACATATGATAAAGTTGATAAACAGACTTTCAACCGAAATTTGTTATAATGTGACATTGGTTGGAGGATTGTTTGGTATCCCACCTTCAGAGGGATCTCAAAGATCCTCTTTTTCGCCTTTTTTTTGAAAGTTAATGCTGAAAAGTAGGGGTCTTAGTGATCTCTAGGCCTAGGTGGGTCTTCTCTTTGGGAGTTTGAACATAGTGTTCGTCAATCTTGGGGTGTTTGATAGGATGGCTTGGATGTGGTAGGAGAATGTGAATAAGTTCTCAGCTAATTCTTTTCTTCTGCTGTTGAAGGGTGTCTTGATGAGAGATGACTGATATCTCATGACTGGATTTTATAGAGTACCTCCTAGAGTTCATGCTTTTGACGTTGTCGTGCTCGATTAGGGCCTCATGTGCAACCACCTTCCGCAGTGTTGTCGAATGAATAGATCTATACATCATACCATTTCAGGAGGTCAAGGAGATTATGATACTTGCTTCTACACCTGTGACTGTCTCTAGAATTTATCTGGAGCTGCTTCATGTCAATGTTTGGATTTCATTTGATGATGCTGGTTACATTAGCTATCCATATTTCTCTGGTCCCAACAATTAAGATTTGGTGAAATAGGCAACTATGCAGGTTTGCAAGATGTGCCATATTGTGGGTTGTTTTGAAGGAATGTAACATTAGGAATTTCAGCAGGCATTTCGAAGTATTTTGGCCTGTGAGAGTATTCCGTACTGGATAATCTCTTATGCACTGACTTTCATAGATTTCAAAGCTATCAGCAATGCATACTTGTTGATGTGACTAGAGGCTGCTTCTAGTAGCAAGGCCTTGGACTTTTTTTTAGTAGCAAGGCCTTGGGCATTCCCAAAGCTTGTGGCTCGATGATTTCCTCCTCCTCAGGACACCTGGAAGTCTAACTTCAATGGAAGTTCTTTAGTTTTGGAGTTTGGGTTGTTAATGTTTGTCAAACTTTCTAGGGCACTGCTAAGGTATGCACTCATTTATGTCTAAGAGTGCATGTCTGATGTAACTGTGGGTATTCCCTTAGCCATTCTCAAGTCTCAACCCTCATAGTGGAGGAAGTGACCCAGTTCACGTTATTTGGCTAGAGGTGTTTCAGATTAATTGTGAAGGATTATAGACATATTGGGGAAGATTTTTGAATTTTAGTAGCAGTTTGGTGGTTTCTTTCACTATACTCCTTGGGATTAAAATACAGAGGACAATAGTCTGGCATGTGATGGCATCGCTGGGGACTTTCTTCTGCATTGAAACCCCCCTTCTAAGTGAATTGATAGCTACTTGTTGGACTTATATTTGTCATTCTTTTATATGTTGTCCGTTGTTTCTTTCTTGTGGTGATATTTGTTGTTCTTTTTTATATTCTGTCATTTCTTTATATTGTCCATCATTTATTGTTTCTATATAATCCTTTTGGTTTTCTTTGCATACTCTATGTTTGTTTGCATCCAGCGCTGCTTCACATATATAATTTCACATATCATTATAAGTTAGTTATAGAAAAAATTTATAATCCTTACTTTTCAACATTTAGTTGCAATCTTCTTGCCAAAAAATGTAATGCAATGTCAAGACTTATTGCCTCATTTCCTCAAATTCATGTTTCTTTTGGGGAATAGTACTTAGCATTGTAAGCTTGCTGTTGGTATCTCTGGGAACTTGGAGTCGTCAAATTAAAATGGCACTTACTTAGGAAGCACATCGAAATTGCTGCAATGAAGAATGAAAGTCACCGTCGGACAATACTCTGGCTTCTATGGCTATAGTCTTCCGCAGTAATTGATGTGTGGAGGATACATATACTTCTATTATTCAATGAACTTTTTGATAGTAAAACAAAGCATGTCATTCTAAAGCAAAGTGTATTAAATTGTTAATTCCTGTTCAAATAAAGTTAAAGTGGTTATTCAGTCAGATTCATGGAGATAAATGATATACATTCTAATTCTTCTCAAATAGGTAAATTTATTTACTATGGTATAAGTGTCCACACCTATCAATACTCCTTGCAATTCCTTTGTATTTATTTTTGATATAAATATTTTTTAGTTCGTTTCATTACTTTTTTAGATTTGTTATCAAATATTTTGCTTTCTGCTGTTGAATATATGGATGATGATGAGCTTGTCATATTATTATATTGCTTTGGAAAAGCATCATTCACTTATTTGGTGAAATTCTGCAGGTTCACATTTCACTAGCAGGGGATAAACACATGAGGGTTACATGGGTCACAGATGATGATTCCTCTACTTCAGTTGTTGACTATGGGACATCTCCAGGAAGATACACACAATCTGCCCAAGGTGAAAGCACATCCTATAGCTATATGTTTTACAGTTCGGGCGAGATACACCATGTTGTGATTGGACCCCTTGAGCCCAGTTCATATTACTACTATCAATGTGGTGGAGAAGGACCAGAGTTTTCGTTCAAGACTCCACCGTCTCAACTCCCAATAACTTTTGCTGTTGTGGGTGATCTTGGGCAGACGGGTTGGACATCATCGACTCTAGACCACATTGATAAATGTGAATATGATGTTCATTTGCTTCCTGGAGATCTTTCATATGCAGATTATAGGCAACATTTGTGGGACTCTTTTGGTGAGCTTGTGCAGCCTCTTGCTAGTGCAAGGCCGTGGATGGTGACTGAAGGAAACCATGAAAAAGAAAGCATTCCATTCTTTAAGGCTGGTTTTGATGCTTATAATGCTAGGTGGAAGATGCCCTTTGAGGAGAGTGGTTCAGGTTCGAATCTGTATTATTCTTTTGAGGTCGCAGGGGTGCATCTCCTGATGCTAGGGTCATACACAGATTATGATAAGTATTCAGATCAATATAAGTGGCTCAAGGTTAGTTGTTTCTTTGGAAAATTTGTAATAATGTTTGTGGTTTCCATAATAATGCAAGGGTGTGGTTTGTATGGAGCCGAGGCTCTAAACAATCAAAGTAAAGCGCACCTTCATATATAATCGAGAAATGTGGTTTGAATACTGGAAATCTTTGTGATAGCCTTAAAATATATTTTCATCTTTAATTATAAAATTTAAAGCTTAAAAAGTAGTGTACATTGAGCAGATCTATGAAAACTTGAAAATCTTGAAAATTGATGGTCCAAAAATGCGTTACAAGATGCACTAGTTCCAAAACTTGAAATTCATTTATTTCTCGTGTCCATGCATCTTGATGTCGAGATGATCAATTTGAGGGTATTTAGGCATCAAAACAACCTCTATTAGTGAAAGTTTTGAGGTGGGCTCTAATTTGATTGTTTAGAGCCTCGGCTCTATATAAACTTTTTCCATTATGCAACTACCTCATAATCTGGACTAGTTTCTTTACATAATTCCAGCAACCGATTGCAGTTGAAGATCTGTTTTAGGGTTTATAAATAGGATCTTTTGCTAAAATCTTGAAGAACTTATGGTTTATAAATAGAATCGTTTGCTAAAATATTGAAGAATTTATGCTATAGATATTTCTAAATGTGCTATGTTGCATGGGCACTTTCTCAGAGGTGGATGGCAGGAGTATGCCATGTGTGAGACACTTGCAATGTCTGACAGCCATGTCCATGTCTTTCTTACCATGATGCTGATGCTCTTGAATTTGGATGCTGAATTTATATGAAGTACTCTAACAAATTCAAAAGTGCAGCACTTGGGCTGCCTGGGCAAAATCGATGGCTACTAAACACAACAATCCCATGTCAAATGCTGTCCCTGTTGATTTATCGTTCTCATGGTTTCCATGTTTTCCATGTCCCATTTTTAATTTGAGACTTCTTATCCTACTTATGCTCTGGATGGCTGGAATACAATGCTTAATTGCCAAAATATGTGCCTTGAAAAACTACTGTGCTTATGTTATCCGAAACTTAATTTGCATTTTCATGTTGCAAGAGCAACTCAAACATATCAAGAACATGGAAGCATTTTTTCCTGTTTTTCCATTTGTATTGACCAAAATATTTCATTATGTAAGGATTACCTTTGGTACTTGGGTTAATTTAGAGGTCTAATAAAGGTGAGGACCTTAAACTTTCCCTTAACCCTTCCCAGGCTTGGGTAAAAAAAGTGGGTTGCATTAGGTAGACAGCTAGTGTAAAACTTTGCCACATCTTATCATGAATCCTGAACTTATGTTATATGCTCGTGCTAGGGCGTTCTGCTCTTGATAGAGTAGAATGGTGGAACAAGATTTATGTAGCTGACCCCAAATAGTTGGGGTAAGGCTTTGATGATGATGATGCTAACTTGGGATAATTTAGGATATTCTTGGTAATCCAAGCATTTCATGTGAACGAGAAGATAATTTCATGATTTCTTTCTTCATTGAACATGGATTGTTTTGCTTTTATTCTCATTCTTATTGTGATTCCTTTATTTCTATTGGGCTGTTGGATTTCCAGGCTGATCTCGCAAAGGTAGACCGAAAAAGGACACCTTGGCTTATTGCCTTGTTTCATGTGCCTTGGTATAACAGTAACTGGGCACACCAAGGTGAGGGTGATGACATGATGGCGGCCGTAGAGCCATTGCTTTATGAAGCCAAGGTTGACATCATGTTGGCTGGCCATGTACATGCTTATGAACGTTCAGTAAGTCCAAAGTCTTCATGAATTTCAAACTTTTGATTTTGTTTTTTTTTTGGTTTCTGTTTTGCTTTTTGCAACATATTATATTATAATTGTGTTATCACTTGTCGATGATCAGAATCGGGTGAACAAGGGGAAGGTGGATTCTTGTGGAGCTATACATATTACAATTGGAGATGGTGGAAACAGGGAAGGTTTGGCCCAAAGGTAAGTCTTTCATCCTCTAGAAACATTCTTTTTCTAGTTGTTTCCCTTTCAAGACTGATTTGTGAAGTACTATAGGACTATGTTTCCTGCTTTGGAAGGCATGCTTGCTGCATCAAAATGCCTGATCCTCAATAAGTTTTTGAAATCTCATAATTTCGAAAGTATCCTTATGTAATCATCCAATACTATGAAATTGAAGGGAAGTACTGTAGTACGGCTATAAGACTAGCCAATGCTTGATGGGATGAAATGTTGGGTAGTCAATATATTCATAGAATGAGTGTAGCTGAGATGAGGATGTTGAGATGGATGATTGGCAAGATAAAAAATTATAGAATTTATAATGAATACATCTGAAGGAACTTAGGGATGACTCCAAGAGGCGATAAGTTGAGGGAAATATTTTAGGTGGTCTGCCATGTACAACGTCAACCTGAAACAATACCAGTTAGGAAGGTGATCTGGTTTAGGTGGAAGGCTCTAAAAGGGCAAGGGAAAGGCCGAAAAGGACTCGGATGAATTAGTGAGAAAAGATATGGTGAACTAGGATTTGTGTAGCCGATCCCTAATAATTGGGATAAGGATCAGATGATGATGATCCTTTGTGAGACTTGTTCAAGTGTAAAACACTGACAATGGGGTATATGTTAAAGATTTACTACTCCATATGCGAACTTATGTGATTTCTATGAATTTGCAAAATGAATGAGATATGTTGGATTTCATTCAAAGCTTCTTTGTAATGGGCTGAAATCCTATTAGTGGACAATTGAGCATTCTTTTGGGCCACAAGTAGAAAATATTTGTATGCAAAATCTCAACCACGAGCTACCATTTGTGTTGCAAAGCTGTAAATAGAAAAGTTACTTGCATGCAGCCATGCTATGCATGGAGAGAGAAAGACACAACTTGTCTTTATCAGATTATGGCAGTCTTTGTGTTTTAGAAAATGTATAGAAAAATTATTATATCTAGAAATTAAAAACTAATACATAGAATGTTCAATGTTATTTTAATCTAACTTAATAAACAAAAGATAAAATTTTAAGTCGAAATCAGTGTTGTTAGGACTGGATCTGCCATTGAATTGGTGGAGGCTACAGTTTAGTCAGATCGGTTAAATATTAGTTTAATCTAACTTAATATATGAAAGATAGAAATTTTAGTCAAAATCATTGTTATTAGGTCGAATCGACCATGAAATTGGTGAAAGGCGACAATTTAGTCAGATCTGTTCACTGGTCTGAGTCGTTTGACTAGTTGAATTTAAAATTTAAAAATAGAAAATAAAACATAAATCTGGAAAACCTCAAAAAGTAACGAAAATTTCATGAAAAATAATAAAATTTTAAGAACAATAAGGACATTATAATTTCGTAAATAAATAGGATTAGGAGCCTAACTTCAGAATAACAATATATATCATATGAAGCAGGCCACCATGGCACAAACTCATTAACTTGAATTTGAAGGACATTAAACAAGTAAAACAATACATAACATATGAAGCAGGCCACCATGGCACAAACTCATTAACTTGAATTTAAGGGCATCAAACAAGTAAACTTGTAAAGTGAATCCCATATCCATGCAAAGCCCCACAAGATAATTGGTTCTTATCTAACTCTCACAAAGACACAAACCATAAAGCAATCAAAAGTTGTGAAACGTGGCCTTCCTACGGATTACATAATACATAAATGGTAAAACACACAAATTCGAGTCAAACGTTGTCTTCATCTTAATCTCCTTCTTCTTTGTCATCTACTACATCACCAACTTCCTCATCATTGTTAATAATATCCTATCCATTGAAACCCATTAGATCCTCATCTCCACTGCATAGTAGAAAGATTTTGGTACTAAGAAACCATAGTGTATGCATACTTCCCTAGGAGCCTAGGAGTCTTGAATATGACAAGAGAATATTTAAAAAAATCCAAATCAAGCACTTAAATGCAGCTCCTTGTACTGGTTCCATTTCCATCCAATTATTAAAATTTCTTCCATTTCCATCAAATTTTTAAGAACTATGTAATGTTATCTTAATAGTATGAGGCCCTATTACTACAATTTGTTGTCAACTGGTTATTACCTTTGCTTCAACCTCAAGTTATAGCACAAAGACTAAGTCATTGAGCCTCTCATGTTCCAAAGTTGTTCACCTTCCTGTATGGATGGATGTAAACATGCTCCAATTCCTCTTACAACCACCTGCACCGCAAGTTTGGCTGATGATATGAGTTTGAACTTTTGTAGGTTAGGAGCATTCCCACGAAATCTTTCCCACCATTCAGAAATTGAACAATAGAGAAAGCAAAATGGGTGATTTCAAATTGTATTAGATTTTAAGATATGGGCACGATAAAATCAATCTATAAACTACACAAATGGAACAATGGAACTTTGAATTTGGAGGAGGATAAATTTAATTACTGGGAGGATATCGTCGCGATTGTTTATGGCCATCTTTCACCCAAAGTCACCCCAGGCCTTCTCGTACAAGCTCATATTCTTGCCATATAGGACTGTTAACGGGCAGGGTTTCTGCTGGGCCAGCCTTGACCTGAGACTAGGCCTGAAAATTTAGTTTCAGGCTCAGGCAGGCTTGGCTTGATTTCATTGTAATAAGGCCTATGCCCTACCTGGGCCTGTAAAAATGTGCCAGTCCCTATATAAATATGGAATGGAATTTGTTCCCTGCCCGGGCCTAGCTTGTAGGCCTTAAAAGTGGCCCAATCCAACCTGAAACCGGGCTCTACAGGAAAGCCCACGGGCATCCCCGGTCCATTAATGGCCCTATTGCCAATCCTTACTTGCATATGCCAATCGATATACAACATCTCAATCATGGCATGCATGCCTTTAGAAGTCTCTGAATGAGTGGTAGATTGGGATTTCTTGTAGAAAATTTTTGGGTTAAGCCAATAAACAATTTCATGAATAGGGTAATGCAATTACTTATCCCATCTCCTATCAGCAATCTTCCAAAATTTCTTATACCTAGACTTTTTCTACTTAAAAGCTGCAATAATGGCTTCTCCTTAGCTCCATCCCTGGCCTCATAAATATATCCTATGGCAGACCATCAGTCCACCCATCAACCATAATTCAGTATCCATGATTGGCTCGGATCCCTTGTATGTCTCTCTATATAGACCTTTATGTTTGATATTTTTCTTCAGTAGCCAACTTTTAACCATTATCATCATCCGAGCCTTATCCCAACTATTTGGGGATGGCCAGCAACCAACATTTAACCAATGTTCGAAAAACGCTAAGCAGTGGTTCCTAGGCGGTTAAAGGGGCTCTGGCCACGTAGGTGCTACGTTGTTGCCTTGATTTTGAGGTGCCCTATATACACATGTACGTATATGTGCGCTCCACACGTGCGTGCATGCAAATACACATGCGAATATATATCATCATCATCATCATCATAGCCTATTCCCAATTAATTGGGGTTGGCTACATGAAATCCTGGTCTGCCATTCTGCTCTATCAAATGCCATACCCTCAGTGAGGCCATTAGTCCCCATATCTTTTTTGGCCAATCACGTCTTTTTGGGCCTACCCCTTACCCTTTTCAGTCCTTCCACTAGAACTAACTTGCTCTTTCTAACAAGTGTTGTACTTGGTCGGTGCCATACATGGCCAGCTCACCTAAGTCTACTCTCTCTCATCTTATCGCCTATTGGTGCGATACCTAAATTCTCCCTAATTGGATTCATTTTGAATTTTATCCCTTCTTGTTTTGCTACTCATCCATCTCAATATCCTCATCTCCGCTACATTCATTCTATGGGTATATTGTTTTTGTCCGCTCAACATTCCGCCCTATAGAGCAAAGGTGGTCTCACAACTGTCCTATAGAACTTGCCCTTCAGCTTCATTAGTATATGGCGATCATATAAAATTCCAGTGGCACATCTCCACTTCGCCCACCCAGCTCTAATCTTATGTATGACATCTTCCTCAATCTGTTAATTTTCTTGGATTATCGACCCAAGGTATCGAAAGTGCAATATTTTTTGTACTTCTTGGCCATCAATCGTAACTACTTCCTCATCTCTACTCATATTATTACTAAACTTGAATTCCATATACTCTGTCTTAATTCGGTTAATTTTATTACTTTTGGATTCTAGAGCATCCCTCCAAAGTTCTAACTTTGTGCTGACACCGTTTCGGATCTCATCGATCAAAACTATGTCATTTGCAAACAACATACACCACGATACCTTATCTTGTAGGTGCCTAGTTAAGTCGTCCATAACTAAGACCAAGAGGTATGAGCTCAATGCCGACCTTCGATGTAGACCTATTGTCACTAAAAACTCACTCGTCTCTCCACTAGTTGTTCTTATATGCGAGTATATATCATTTATGCATATATATACCCAAAACCATTTATGCATATATAATATATATGTGCGTAAAACATATTAAAATCATCGAATGACATTTCACAATTGTGATAAATTAGTATGTGTAAGAATAAAGTAACTGACGGTTACAAAGAATAAGGAATTGGGCTTGGATTAAGACGGTAGTAGTTGTGTTTTCATAGCACTACGTCTCAAGATCCATTCCTATGTAACCTTGTCACAACCCCCAAAAAAAAAAAAACAACTACAAAGGGTAAAGATAATCAACATTCCAAAAAAGGCCAGGCACCCGGCCTGTCCCAAGGTACCAATACCTAGGCGGCCACCTAGAACCTCAAGTGCCCTGAGGTGACAGATTTTCAAACATACACATATATGTGCTGTCCAAAATGCACATATATGCTGATATTTGTGTCAATTTTGTATGTTTTTGCATTTATATAAAGTCTAACCAATTATTTCATACAAATATATATGCATTTAATGTTAGAACATGTTTAAAACTTCACACCATTGAAAGTTTCAATTCTTTGAACAACTGAAATAGTGAAAAACATAAACAAGTCTATTGTATTAGTGTCCATATCCCATAGTGGCATAGTCCATAGTTTATAGTTCATACAATCATCATAAACATAGACCTAACCAAAATGACCAATACAAAATGATGCAATATAAAAGATAAGATGCAATACAAAAGAAAAGAAAGAGAAGATATTTGATTCTTCACATCACTCTTTCTAACCCTTTTTCAGGATAGAATTTTTTCACTCTAGGGGTTTAGAATACCCCCAAAACACCCTTTTCCCCTTTCTCCATGGGTCAAAAAGACAAAATTCAACCACGCAAATTTATTCCTGCGAGGCATCACAAATCCATCTTCAAGATGGATGTAGAGTGGTCATCATCATCATCATTTTAGCCCTTTCCCAATTACTTGGGGTCGGCTATATGAATCCTGGTTCTCCATTCTGCTCTATTAAAGGCCATATCCTCAGTGAGGTCAAAAGTCTCTATATTTTTTCGGACTACATCGAACCACATCCTTTTGGGCCTACCCCTTGCCCATTTTAATGCTTCCACTGGAAATAACTCGCACCTCCTAACAGGAACTGTACTTGGTCGGCGCCACACATGGCCAGCCTATCTAAGTCTACAAAAAAAAATTAGAAGTCAATGGTCTAATTTTTTTTTCAAAAAATTATCACTTTTAGTTTTTAAAATATAGTTTCTTACATATTAATGATCTCCATTTTAGATATAATACCTAAAAAAACTAAGTCGAAAATCCATCTAAAAAATTGATCATGACGAGGGGCCCATATCTACGATAATATATTTATGACTGTACTAATTATAGTCACAATAATATCTCCTACACATTATATTTTCTCAATTACTATAATATTCCTCCTTCTTAACTAAAGTATTCGTCATCAAAGGTTTGTTGTCCTATTTTTTTATGTACTGTCAAAATTTTAAATTAGCTTTATATTTATAAAACTTATAAATCTCTCTTTCGCTTTCTTTCTACAGGTGTGAGAAACCATTATTATTACATTATGCATGACGTTTTAACGACACCTGCAACCCTGGTGCATGCTATTAGTTTAAATAACATTGCTTAATGGGTTGAATTTGGAGCTATTATAGGTAGAGGTTGGTCAGGTGGCACTTAAAAACAATATCAGATTAATTTTGGGATATAAAGAAATTGACGGTCTATGAAGCAAAAAATTATTAATTGTGCATCAACAAAATCATTAATTGTGCATCAATACCACCTTATTTATTATTCCTCCAAAAAAGAATAATGCAAAGTTTTTCTCTATGTAATTTTGATAAATTATCTATTAATTAATTAATTAGCAGGTTTTCTTCAGTTCATATGCATTCTTCTTAAAAAGCCTTTGATAGTTTTCTAGACATTATTTCAGAGCAACTCAAAACTAGGGGTATTTTAGTCTGAAAATATGACACAGTGGTAGTTTCAAAACAAAATCATGACACTTCGAATCGAATGGGAGGATTCATTAAATTAATACATATGAATATAGGACCGTTTGAAACTGAGACACAACCACCCTCAAACCCCCATTTGGTACATTGTAAACAAATGATTTTATAGCTAGTTTTTATTGGAGTTCTGGTGTTCTTGGTCCTAACCTCCTAGGCTTATTTGTCTGGGAATAACAGATCTTGTGATGTTTTGAAGTCTATCAGGGATGCAAATTTGATTCCTAAATTGCCAAGAAAAATGATGTTGGATGAATTGTTTCTGCAATTGATTGCAAGGAGGGCATTACTGTGTTAATTGAGGAAGTTTTTACGGGATAGAGGTTGCTCTCTTTAGCTTCCAAAGAGAGATATGAAGGGAGTGGGCTTGGCCCTCCTTTGATTGTGTGCATTACTGCATCATGTGTTTACTTCCCATTATTTTGTTGGGGATATTAGATATTGTCGGATATACTTGGAAAAGTATTACGCAGTCACCCAAAGTCCAAAATGTTCATTTGGACACTGAGTTAGGTGGAGTTGATGGACCCCAAAAATTCTCATTTCATTCTATGATCAATTTATTTATTTATTTATTTCTTTGAGAATGCTAACACTGTATTAAAGGCATAAAACATACAAAATGTTACAAAATTTGATCCCAAAGGAATAAGGGCTGTTTACATCCAAAAAATTAAGACTCCCCTTAGGGGAGCCCTATACAAAATACGGTGAGTCTAAGGGACGAGACACTCCGCCAACTTGAGATGATGACTGAGGCTGCAAAAAATTACTCAGTCACTTGAGTATTTGCACCTTCTTTGGCGAGTGAGTCTGCGTATGAATTACTTTCACACCGAACGTGTTTCCAAGGAATCGATAGGCCCGAGCAAAGGTGGGCAACTTCTTCGAAAATGTATGCTAGAGACCAGGGATAATGGGTGGAGGCGGAGGCCCAACGAATTACATTGTGTGAATCACCTTCCACTGTGAGGGTAGAGGACCAACTATGTTCGAAGAGTCTAAGGCCTTCAAGGAGTACGTGAGCTTCTGCCATTTGGGAGTTGAAGTGACCGATAGGTTTGGAGTTGGAAACCAGGATTACACCCTCGTGGTTCCTAAACAAGCCACCGATACTGGCCGGTCCCGGGTTGCCAAGGGAACACCCATCAAAATTCAGCTTGATGGTACCAGGGTCAGGAGGAATCCAGTGGGGGTCCTGGGAACCCTGGGGTGCGACAAATGAAGGAGGGGTAGCCAGTCTTGGTGAAAGGCCAAGAGATGGATGCCCTTGAAGAGTTTATGGTTAGAGGCTCAGAAAGTCACCATAGTGCTGATCTTGTCGAACAAAACTGTGGTAGACTTGTATTGTCATTGGAAGATCCTATGCTTGCGCTCGATCCACACAGTCCAAAGGAGCGCGGAGTTTATTTATTTATTTTTTTAAAAATAACTTAGAAGTTTGTTCAAAAGAAAAAAATCATTTAGAATTTGAGATACTTAAAATTCCCTCAAGCTGAATCGAGAATGTCCATTTCTATTGACGTTGGATCTGGAAAGTTCTGACCTCAATTCTTTTGTTAAGTTTTGATCATAAGGTGAATCAAAGATGATTTGAAAAGTTTTAGGGCTTAAAACTCTCCAACTAGGTATCATGCCTGTGGATCTGTATGTACAATTGGACCTGCTGGATCACCCCAAATGCTTGTACTTAGTTGTTTCTTTTAATCTTTGCTCATTTATCATGGTTCCTTATGCTGATTAAATAATTCCATTTATTAGCATGGATGTTCCTTCGTATTTTTTTCCCCGCTTTCTTTTTTTTCACAAGTTTTCATATGGAGTGTTGCAGAATCTGTGAACTGCTTCTAAGAATATAGCCAAGAAAACAGTTTAAGGCCTTTTGTTCTAAAAGTAAATTGTCTTTTCAATGTTTAATTGTTAATAGGTACAAAAACCCTAAACCTGAGTGGTCTATGTTTCGGGAAGCAAGTTTTGGGCATGGTGAACTGCAAGTTGTGAATTCAAGCCATGCATTTTGGAGCTGGCATCGCAATGATAACGATGAGTCAGTGAGGTCAGATCAGCTGTGGATCCACTCCCTCACAAGCTCAGGATGTGTCAGAGACAATAGTTTTGAACGTAGGAAGATCCTTTCATCACCATAGATGGGATAAGTAGTATATCCTGGTATTGATATAGTATGCGGTGTGTATAATTAAGTATAGGATATTTGCTTTCTGCCATAGGTTGCTCTCATAGATGAGATTACTGATGCAACTGCATGTGCCATGCTATGTTTATGCGTATTGTGGTTCTATCCTGATGTATCTTTTGTACTTAGGCATGCCCCTCTTGTGCTTCTTTTCTGTGAATGCATGTGAAGAGAATGCCTGGTGGGCTTACATGGCTGTTTTGTACATAAATGTATTTTCCGTGAATGATAAGGTATATGTTACTTTCAGAATTTTGATTGTACTTGTTGTAGCATTCAAGGGGCTGAGAGAGAGAGAGAGAGAGAGAGACTCGGTTAGGTCTCTATATAGGTTATTATTCTCAAGACAGATATAGAGCATTGGACCAGGGCCTGATGTATATATGAAGTTTACTTGTCCCACACATGGTACAGGCTCTTGGTTGGTCATTGGGACAAGGAAAGCTTGATAATCTGGGCGGAAGAGGCCTCATTCTCCCAAATGTTCGCCTATTGTGTCAAAATCAGGAAGTCTTGTGACCAGTTATTCCTACAACTGGTTTGTGAGATGGGCTCTGGAAAATTTTAGGCAGGAATGTTTATTTCCTCAAACAATGCGCCCATTTTTCAATAATGGCTAGATCCACCACTGTCGAAGATTGGAAAGACTGTGAAAAGCTGTGGTGAGACACAATACAGTGGGGAAATTGGAAGGGAAGAAATAGGAGAAAGTTTGCAGGAAAGCTGCAGAATGGGCATCAATAAGCAAAGAATTGGGGAATTTGGAAGGGAAAAAATAGGGGAAAGTTTGCAGGAAATCTGCAGAATGGACATCAGTAAGCAAAGAATGGGGGAATTTGGAAGGAAAAAAATAAGAGAAATTTGTAGGAGAGCTGCAGAATGGGCGCCAGTAAGCAGAGAATGATGGGGTATTATGACATGGCGTGATTTATGATTTTAAAGAAGTTGCTACTATGAATTTTAGGAGAGCAAGATCAAGTTACTGGCAACCACCACCTGACGGGGTTATCAAATTGAACTTTAATGGAATCTTTTGAGGCAATCCAAGGACAGCAGGAATAGGTGGTCTAAGCAAGTAGAACTCAGCTGAGTCAACTCGGACAATTAGCTGAGGCAAGTTCCTATAAGCCTACTCAGGTACATGGAAACTTGTGTGGACTCACTCGAGTTATGTAGGAGATAGCACGAGTTTGAAAATACTCGGGTATGTCACTATAATAGTCGCCCAAATACTGCTATTAATAAAAAACAAAAAAGGGGAATTTCATCCCGTGTACTCTCTCTCTCTAAAATTAGAGAGAATAAAAATCTGGCTCCCAGTTTTGATCTCCATTTCTCACCTTCCTTTTTCTCATCTCTCTAAATGGAGCACAAAAATTTGTGTCCCTTGCTTGCATTTTTCAAAAAAAGGGGATTGGAATCTGTACCCCCCTCTCTCTCTCTCTCTCTCTCTCCTCCCACCCTACACAGCAATCTATCTCTTCACAAATACTCTTCCCACCCTCTTAAATCTACTAATCGGGTCATACCATTTATTTTTTTGTATATAGAGGTGACAATCATTCTTGTCTCTTAAATTCTAAATGGGTGATTGTAAAAGTGTCATTGAATGGACACAAAGTTCCATAAAAAATATTTTTCGATTTCGTGCCTCAAGCCATCCAATTTGACATCTGATGAGTGGAAATGATTGTAACTTCGATGTATAAAAGATTAATGGCAGCTTTATACAATCCCAAATCTATTTTCATTTTCTTTTTGTTTTTTTCTTTTTTTTTTCAAGATTTTGGGTTTTTTAATTGTTTTTTCTTTTTCTTGAAGGTTTTTTCATGCGTGTACAGTGTTGAGCGAGTCCACGAGAGAGGATTTGCGCTATTTACTTGCAGCATTTCAAAAAGCATTAGGCGGGTCTTAGACGGTTTGGGTCCAGGCCGCCCAGCGCCTAGGAGGGCGCCCAGAACTTGGGCGGCCCAGTAGAAGGAAAAATATCCCCACAGTCTAACAATATAAGTATAACTGTATAAAACATAATAATTAGGGATATAAGGCACAACAAAAGTATAGTACACAACACAGCACACACTCCTTCATACTCCATAAGACCATAACCATAAGTCCATATCCAATTATCCATATACCGATAGTCCACACTCCACAGTTTAAACATATTTTAAAACTTACCAACCAATTTATCAAAGTTATCAAACCAATGGAACCACAAATCCACAATACACAATCAAGAGGAGGAAAAAAAATATGAAAGAAATACTTGAAGACTCAAAAGAATCTTCAATCATCATTCATTATCAAAAAAAGTAGAGTCAACTGCATCTGCATCATATGCATCGGAGTCGATGCCATCATCACTGTCATCATCTCCCTCTTTAACATAATATTCTTCCTCCTTTGTCTCTTTTGAATTTGCCTTTGCTTCCTCCTCTTCTTCCACCTTCGTCATCTGTGAAGATCTAGTGGCCCTACGAGGGTCGACTGATGTCCCTGAGACATTCATGACTATGTCCCATGTCAATCTTTCATGTCTTTTGCCCTCATCATCATCAATCAACCACTTTATAGCATTACCCGTATTTTTTTATATTCATATTTTTTGATCTGAGGACGCCTCTTTTTTCTCTCTTAGCAAACCTGTCATTCAAAAATCGATTATACTTAACATAGGCTAGGTCATTAAGCCTTTTTTATTCAAGTTTGTTATTTTTTTTGTATGAATCTAACAAAATCAAATACAACTAATTAATGTAAATAATTGAAGGGAAAGTTTATATACAGTTGCATCTTTATGTCAATAGCTAAGGATGCAGCCTTATAAACCGTCCAATATTTTGGACGGTTCAGATTTCGCATTTGAATGTGGTATACCAATACTTCCAACTGGAAGCAACCGGTTACCCTTCCAGTTGTGCCTCTCTCTCTCTCTCTCTCTGCACGGTACACCACACTCTCTCTCATCAAAACCATGGTGGTTTTGCAGCGCATGGTTCTTTCGTATTAGCCTTGATCATTAATATAAACTGTGAAAAGTGGAAACTTTTTCAGATGAAAGCTCTTTAGTGGTTTTTAAAAGCCATTTTTTGGTGGTTTCTTTGGCTCCCTTTCTCTCTGATTCCAGGTACCCTGTCCAAAGAAAACACCGTACCTTTTCTACTCTCATTACAAAGTCCATGGCGGTTTTGTATAGGCCCCATTCGTATAGAAATAATAAAAAAAGACCCATGTTTTTGTGGTTTCTGGTTTGGGCTTTGGGTTTTCCAATACCTATTGCGAAAATCACTGACGGTTTTGGAGGTCCCTATCAGTTCACGGGCTTGGCTTATTATAAAGAATACCAGGAGAGTTCAGAATCCAGAATGGTTTTCATAAAGAATACCAGGCCTTTTCTCTGGTTCATGACCAATGGGGCATCAATAACTCTCGAGGCATTTCTCTGCAACATCACCTCCATGCCATTGCCAAGAACAAGCCAAATCCATCCACCAAGACCAACTGGATTTTTCACCGCACCTTGAAGACCCACAACACATATTTGGTGCGATTGTTATCGGTGACCACCACCTTGGTGCCTCGGTAGATCAAAAAGCTCCTCTTCTTCACTGGTTTCTTCCTCCTCAAATTCACAGGCCTCGCCATTAGATCCCCTCTCCAAACCTTCTTCAACCATTGCAGAATGCATGCTAAAACCACTGAAATTCAACGAAATTGCTGAGAAAATTAAGCCACAATGGCGGAAGAGTGCAGCAAAAAAAAATTGAGCACTCCGCACCTCTTCGCCCTTTCGCTCACCATATACTCGTTCTCTCTCTAGAACTTTCTCTCTCTAGACCTTTTCTCTGTTACTTTTGTAATCTAAAACAAAGATGGATGCAGATCTGAGAGAAAATACATATCAAGCCTTTTCTCTTTCTACTAAAGCCCAAGTGCTCCTCTTTTTCTCTCTCTAGTTAATGGGTAGAGGGAAGGAAACTAGGGCACCGGTCTTCCCCTTGGTCTTAGTATGCAATCTCCGTCATTGAAATGCTTGAATGGTGGAGATTGCTTCAACCTTACATCTACAGCTACGGATGCATCAGTATGCCAACCGCACCCATAATTAAATATATAATAGTAATATTACAAAACTAATAACTATTCAAGTATTAAATTACTAATATAAATTACCATATTTAAAGTACTCCAATTCTGCTCACAACGGGATGAGGTAGTGGTCAGGTTTATGATTCAAACGGCTAATTCTTGTAAATTTGGAGTACTACGTCCCTGTTGGTTCCACCAATTGGCTGCAAAGATGTAGAATAAATAAATAATAGAATTATAGAAATGAAACTTGATTACTTGAACTTGATGAACTAAAAAATATTTTTACCTGGATTAATTTTGGTCTTTTGCCTCATCGCCATTAGAATCCCAAAAGACTTTAATGCGCACTTGTAATTTATTTGCTCATTAGCACATATAATATCCGGATCAGGGACTAGTACATCTACACACTTATTTGTATCGGGGATACAAGTGTCGAAAAATACCCTATAAAAGTGATACTCACCGCTTTTTTCAAAAGAGGTTCTGAAAGCTCATATGGGGTTGGGGTTTTATCCCATGCCCAAATTAGCCAATTGTTTCTATCAAGACGTAGAAGCTGCTTAGGAGAGCAGCGTTGAAAGGAATGCTTGCCTCATAAAACTGTGTAATAACATAAAAAACAGTTCTATCTCTCTCTTCCTTCTTGATTCTATTTTCAATGGCAGCTTGTTTCTTTGTTTTCTCCCCTGCAACCTCAAAGTTAGGCCGGGGAAAAAAACAATCCATAGGGCCTCTAACCCAAGGCTTCTTAAGCCCCGAACTCCCAGAAGCAATTACAACTCCCTTTCCCTTCCCCCTAATCATGGACTGTTGCTCTACCTCTTGACATCCCTCTCCGTCTTCATCACTATCATCATCATCATAACTAACCTGAACCCCATACTTAATCTCTGCTATGGATGCATGTCTCTCATCTCTTTTCATTTTTACAAGACTCAGAAAATTGTTTGTCTCATCGTTAACTGGTTTATGCCCCCTTTTGTATCTTTTTCACAAAACTTACATCTTATGCAATTTTAATCCAAAGGATTCGGGTTGTAGCCATATTTCCAACCCGGATCACCACTTCGATTAGATCCCGAAGAAGACTTCTCAAAATAATACAACTTATACAAGCAATAAAAAAATCACTAACTTTGATTGTGCCCAGGCCTCTTGGACCGCCTAGGCGGTCACCCAAGTGCTGGGCGGTCTGCTTTTCAAATCGCTGGTTACTTGGCTCTGCAGAACAATTTTTACATAAGTCAACTTTTAGGCCCCAGCTTGATGTATCATTCAATAATAATAAATGGCAAAACAATGTTAAATCATAAAAAAAAATTAAATTATTTATTTATTTATTTTTAATATTCTTTTTCAGCAATGTTGAGATTCTCAATCTATAAATTTTTAGATCCAAGTTCCATTTCTAAGATGGATTTTGGAGTGAGGACACAAACTGATGGATCCAAGAATCATCTCTAAGATGAATTTAGGAGAGGAGACGCATGTTCATAGATGAGTCAATGGCTTGACCATAACCTTGCCCATAATAAATAAAGGGATTATGTATTATGTATTATGAGACCATTTATCTTTGTTTCAAGCAAGTCACAATTGCTTCGAGCCACTAGATGCCAAATTAGATGGCTTGAGATATTTTACGAGGTTTGAGCATTTTTTTTTAAACTTCGAGTCTAGTCAATGACTCTTACAACCATCCAATTTGAAATCTGACAGACAAGAGTAATTATACCTTCCGAGTACACTTGGGGTACTAATCATGGAATATTATCGGTTTTTAAAAGCTCAAGTAAAATGTTTTCTTTTCTTATTTTTTCTTTTTAAATTCCTAAATCCAAAACAAGGCTATTAGTAGTCATCTGAGCAGGTTTCCATTTCTCTCACTTTACGTGATGATGCCAAGCCGGGCCCTATCCGCTCAAGAACATGCACTAGTTTTTTTTTGGCTATTGCTAGGAAACAGGATATACAAAATGAGCCCAAGAGTTATTTTGCAACGTTTTCTGCCAACGAGAAATAACTGCGATATAATCATAGGGCTGGCAATGGGCCGATTGGCCCAGCCCGGCCCATCATAAAAAACTAGGGTTTGGGCTACAAAATGTGACCAAGAGTTTGTGACTCTACCGGCCTAGTTCGGCCTGGCCCGCCTTTCTTTCTCCCTTACTGCTTTCTTTTGGTTTACTTTTATTGTATTTGGCATGTCCTGGCTTGGCCCAGCCTTGAAAGGCTGGTTTGGGCATTGGCCAAGGCCTCTCCAGACTGGCACGGACGATCCGGGATCGCCAACCCTTTATGGACTAGGTCTAGGCTAGGACTAGGGTGCTAGCCTATCCCAGTCCTGGCCCGTTGCCACCCTTACTAGTAACCTGTCTTGAAAAGAATTGAGACAATAGGTTCATATCTAAGTATGAAATACAAAATGATACACAAGATGTGCACGCCACGTGTGGACCTTGTATTTAAGAGACTTAACATTTTTAATAGAATTTTTTAATTATCAAAATACACCCAAGACAAATATTTAACATTTTATCCACATCTTCTAATTTAATTGCAAAATAACCATCAAAATACAAATGAAGATGAGTTGGAATAATTGAAAAATGGTCTAACTGTTAAATTGTTGAAAAGTAAAGTGTATTATGATTATTTCCCCTATTATTAGACTGCTGCTACTAAATGCAATGTTGCCCAAAAAGGAGTTTGAAACCCATTTATCACTTCAAAAGTTTCAGTATTTTCTCCACCACTGTTCTATCCCGCAAACATCGACCAGTTATCGAATGCCACTGATCGACTCAACTTCAATGCAGTTTTTATTACAATAAAAAAATGAGGGGGCCTTTTATCCAGTAAGCTTTATTTTGATGAACTAAGAAGAAATGAGTTCCCTACTAAATTATTGGTCATTTGCCCAGTTCTTTGGGTATACATTATTAATTACGGACATTGCAATGCAGTTGTTATAGAGTTATGGGTGATTTCAAGAGGGGCTTTGCCTTGTCTTAGAATATGGACAATTATGGAAAAACAAAAGGAAAACAAATATGAAATTCTAGAAAGAAACAGAGAAATGCACATACAATTTTCCGAAAACATCTAGAGAAATCTCATACTATTTTCGCTTTGGATAAAAACCAGACATCCATTGTTGAGAATATGTATACTTTCCTGAGGGCTGTCAGACTGAGAAGTATACATTATAAATATTCTTCATACTTTTCTGTTCACATAGAACAGTTTTACTGAAGCCTCACTTGAAATCAGCAGCTAATCTAATGCTCTGCATGCTGAAATCCCTTGTACCATTTAACTTTAAATTAGGACTAACTTTAAAGTGGTGAAAACCTCCTTTCCATATTGAGGAAATGGTTATCCCTTGAGCAAACTTTTCAAACACCTAAGAAAGGAGTTTAATTTCTCAACAAAAATAGGAGTGAGGATGGTTACCAACAAAAATTTAAGGAGGATTGTTGGGTCCTCAAATCGCCCTCCCTGCATTTTGCTTGGCTGCCTCATTTGAATGATTGCTCGCCCTCAACCACCTCTCCATCCCAATCCTCTCCTGTAATGAAAAGTAATCCAAGTGCATTGCAGACTCTAAGTGGCTCCTTCTTTAACTGCAGGCATTCCACTACCTCCACATTTTGAATCAATGGGCAATGCAAATACATGTTTGCTGCATATACTGCACAGTTGCGGTAGATCACGTAGCCGCAATCTTCTTAGCTTAGGTAGAGTTAAAAACAAAGATGATCCGTCGTCTTCTGCTTCTTTGTCATCATCAAGCACCTCCTCCACTCCACAACAATCCCAAACATTGATCTCCTCCAAGTTGTCGAGATGTCGTGCCATGCCTTTGTTAAACACCACCTTCAATCTATCACACTTCCATATCTCTATTTTCCTTAGGTTACTGAAGCAATGCGGTGGTGGGACTCCGACGCATATCGCATCTAGTTTAGGAAAAAATTGAAGCGACAACTCGTTCAAGCTTTGCAAGGAGTCATCTTTGGCATCCTCTCCAACCACCACATGCTCCAATTCCTCACAACTTTCTATGAATAGAATATTTGAGATGCGAGTTGGTACCCGCCTCACATCCTCACAATGCGAGATGAATAATGTGGATAGACATTGGGACTCATCCAAAGCAGTTAGGGCATCCATTGTTTAAACCTTGCAGTCATACAAGAGCAGTTTCTCCATGATCCTGGCTAAAGGCTTGAACCAATCTGAAATTGTAACATTTTTTAGATCAATGCTAAGCCTGCTCAAATGGTTTAATTTGATCAACTCCCTAATATCAATGAAGCCTTCTCCCTTGGACCCACTCCCATCTCCTTCCCCATCATCATCATCCAGTCTCCATTTTATACCTACAGCATATCCCAGGTCTATCTCCTCTAACTAAATCAAACGAGAAAATACCCCTCCTGGAATTCTTAACCACGTGTTACTCAAATTTAAGTATCTTAACTTACTCAAATCTCCCATCCCATCAGGCATGTTCTCCATTTCCTGACAATTATGCAGGTCCAAAAACTGGAGTTGTTGGAGCCCTCCAATTGGTGGTAACCCGCTTAGTGAATTGCAGGATCTTAATATGAGCACACGGAGTTTTACTAAACATGATAGGGAATGCGGCAGGGATTCAATTGTTGTCCAACTAAGATTCAGAACGCAAAGGCGATCCATGTGCTCAAAGAAACTTCTTGAAGGGATGGCCTTAAGAATTCTGTTTCTATCCAGCAATAAGGTAGCTAGTTTTGGGCAACCCTGTGGCAATTCAGGGAGCACCTCTACTTCATTTTCCATTAGTGAAATTTTGTCTGCTTCTTCCCACTTTGTAGCTTCTGGCGCCTCCCTTAATGAAGCTCCGGCTTGAACCAAGAAGTTAGGGCTATCTTTTGACTCAAGAGAGGTGATCCACAGTGCTAGCTCGCGCATCATATCGTGCGTCCTCACTTCACCTTCTCTTTCCCCGTTTTCAAGCATGCACCCAGATTTGAGACTCCCGACCAATGTAGCAACTTTATTCCTAGTGGCTTTCAAACTACCCAGACTATCGACTAGTCCTTCTCGAATGCAATGAATTGCTAAGTGATCTTGGTTAATTGAACAGTCCTCAGGACATAAGCAAGATCTGTACATATCATTTTCCAGTCTATCATAACTAAACTTTAAAGAATCAAATACTTTTTCCTTCATACCTCGAAGGCTTGCTGCTGATTGGTTCAATTCTCTTACAGCATCCTCCCATTCCCCCACTGTGTGTTGGTTCGCCATAGCATGTGCAACAGTGACGATGGCCAGGGGTATGCCCTCGCACTTTCTGGCAACAATTTTAGCATGGGGTTTTATTGATGGGGAAGTTACATGATGACCGGCTTTTGCAATGAACAGGGTCCAAGCCTCCAAGTCTGATAATTTCTTTACTGCTAATGTGATTTGAGCTCCCATGTTGGTACATACATCTCGATTCCGGCTGCACACCAGAATGTTGCACCCACTATCATTTTTGGGTTGAGGGATTCCTATGTCCTCGAGTTTCAGGTCATGCCATAAGTCATCCAAGATTACTGGATACTTCTTCCTCCTTAGAGCATCCAACAGCTTCTCTCCTGCTGCATCCCCATCATAGCTTGATAAATGCAAGCCCAAGCGCTCTCCTAACCTCTTTTGTATCTTTGTTACATCCGGAGAGGCAGATACCGTAACCACGATCGCAATGTAAAAATAAGGATTTGATTTGAAGTGATTATTGACTTTTGCCATCAGAGTTGTCTTTCCAACGCCTCCCATGCCATAGACTCCGATGATACCATAACCTGGGTCACATATGCAATCAATTGCCTTCTGCAACATCTCTCGAACACTGGGTTGGTCCTCTATGGTTGGGGCCTCCATCTCTCTCACGCTCTCTAGTGGAGCTGTTTTTGTTGATTCAAATTCAGCTACATGCCTCTCATCAACCTCTCCCTTAAGTTTTGCTGCCCTCTGGCTGAGTCCATAGCATTACCAACAATTTACACACAACCCTCCTAGACATGTATTTCCAGTTTTATACTCCTCTTCTAGTAGAGCTACTTTTGTTTCGATTTCACCAACTGCTGTGAGCCAATTCGTCGCTGCATCAGTGAGGACTTCGTCCTTCCTCCCCGCTGCGTCAATCTCATGCTGTATGTCATCCCTCTTTGCCTTCAGATTTGTTTGTGGCTCTCTCGAGCTTCTTAACATTCTCTGT